ATGCGGGGTCTGGGTTGGAGGTTGGGTGCGGGATGGTGCTTGCGGTAAGGGAGGGAGTTTGGATGAAGGAGGCAGTTGTGACCTGGGGCACTGAACTGGGCTGGAGGGGGTTGGATTGTGACCTAGGGCAGGGAATTGGTGTATAGGACGGGGTGCAGGGATTTGGGTTGTGAGGTAGGGCAGGAGAGGACTGATTTGGGGCATGGGATTGGGGTGCCAGATCTGGGAGGGGATACGGGTATGGGAGAGGATTTGGGTATGTAGAGTGGGGGCAGAGGGTTGGGAAAGGGAGAGACTGATGACCCAGGTAGGCTCTGCCAGCAGACTTACCAGCCAACAGTCCTGCACCCCCACCCCCACGCAGGCTGCAGCCATGTGCTCTGAAGCCCCTTGTGCTTCTTAGCTGCCTGTTATTGAAACTGACAGCTCCCGTTGGCCAGTTTCTGGCCAATGGGATTGTTCTGGGAGCAAGAGCAGCTCCCAAAACTTCCTCCTCCTCCCCTCTGGACTCTTTTTAAAGAAAACTGCCCACAGCTGCGTTTGAGTGGTGTACAGGTGGGGCAAAGCAAGTGGGAAGCCTGCCTGGGGCTCCCCACAGCATCCGTGGGCTGTGAATTGGGCATTGAATCTGTGTGTCAGGCTCTGTTTTGAGTGACTACCAGCACTTGAACTTTCCATTTGTGTAGCAGGAATCTGCCTCCACCATAGTTTTCATGGGCGCCATTTTAGTTTTGCCTTGAGCTTTGCAGGAAATCCAAGCCAGGGATCTTGTGAAAGACACGACTTCTGCAGTGGTGCTGGAACTATTTTTGGGAAGGCCTGTCCTGAGCTGCATTGCCTCTCTTCTCTCCCCCCCCCCCCCCCACCCCAGCTGAGATCAGGCTGCCAACCCTCCGAGCCTGAACTCCATTGCTGCAAATGGCATCCAGTCAAGGAGAGTTGGCAGCCCTCACTGCCTCAGCTGGGGGCAGCTGCAGGGCCCTGTGGCTGGTGGGCTGCAGAAACCACGGCAGGACTAGCAGGTGGCAAGATCCCATGGGCTGGCAAACCCACTGAGGCCAGTGGCCAGGACCTGGGGGGGCTGGCCCAGAGGGTGAGACCCTGGGCAGGAGGAGCTGAGAGTGGGACTGGCCCCCAGGTGTGGGGAAACGGGCTGCAGCACTTCCTGTGCTTATATTCCTGTGAACACTTCAGCTTTCCAAGATTTCGAGTTAGACAAAGGCTAAACGTGTGGGTCCAGAAGAGTTTGTGACTTACGTGGAGATGAAGGATATTTTTAAGGTCCTGAGGGCTGTGGGGAGGTTCATTTTCCATGATCCACTGGGGTTCCCAAAAAGGGTTGCAGCAGCACGGTGAACAGAAGAGGACGAGGTTGAATATTTTTAAGTGGGAGCAGGGTAAGCGGCAATCAACCTGGGCTACTACAGGCCTATTAATCTGCCCTCAGTGGTATGAAAGGCTTAGAACGAATTTGCCAGTCAGAATAACTAAATAAAAATGTGCTTAAAGGCAAATCTTGCCAGGCTAACCTGATGTCTAGTAAAATCAGAGTGCTTATCCAAGACAGACAAGAGAAATATGATAGCTCTAATGTATTTGAAGATGACTGAAGAGGAGAATACAGGGATTCATACAAGAATTGTAAGGTGGATAAGGAACTGACCAGCAGGGAGATAGCAATGGGTTGTGCTGAGAAAAACTTTGGGCTATTGGGTTGTTGCTACTGGAGCTCCCTGAAGATCAGCGTTGGCATGAACGAAAGGAGGAGTTTTCTGATGAAATTTGCTGATACAGCAGAGTTGCAAAGTGTTGTCCGCACTGAGGCGCATCAGTAGATTGTACAGGAAGAATTGGATGATCTTTTGAGGACTGGAGTAATAGAAATGAGATGAAATGTGATAGTGTATAGTCATGTCATGCACCTGGAGACTAATGGCAGCTTCTACAATCAGCTGTTGGTTTCAGTTAGAAATGGCAGGGGAGAACTATCCAGGTGTATTTGTAGACCCCAGGATGACTGAAATACCAAAGTGATCTGCCTCAGGAGGCAAGCAAATGTAATCCTAGGAGGTGTCAGAAGACTTGTTTCCAGCAGAGAGGGAAGCATTAATGCCATAGTACAAAGCCTTGCTGAGTATCTGGAACAGTGTGCACAGTTCTGGCCACTCACCTTCAGGACAGATTAATTCAGACTAGAGCAGGAGTAGAAGAGTCACCGGGATGATCAGAAAAGAAAAACCTGGTCTGAGAGAAGCAGAACAACTTGACTTGTTGAGCTTAAGTAAAACAAAATGAGAGGGAATAGGATTTCTCTCTAAATACCAGGACATTGGGGAAGGAGAGAAGCAATGCAAGTTTGAAGGATAGGGTTGGCACAAGAACAAATAGGCATACCATTTTAAATGTAAATCTCTATTTGAGACTTAAAAATAAAACCATATTTGAAGAAAAATGAATCTGAGTTTTAGGGGCATGGGTTATTTTGTTGCAAGTAGCCAATGCCATAATTATCTAATTGAAACCTCTATTTCAGGTTTTTTAGAGGACTTCTGGGGATCATGAGCTGCTTCACGGCTCTTTATCTAAGAGCCTCTATTGGAGGCACTAAAAGGCACTGGTCCAGCTCAAGGAATTTACAAGCTAGGCTAGGAGGCAGCGGAGCCTAAAAGCCACTGATGCCAAACTGGGAAATAACCAGAGCTTTAAGAAATGTCATGCAAATTTACACTTTACTAAATCAGGATTAGGGTTGCAAGCACACACTCAAAAGCTAAACTTGTTACATTTTTTTTAACTTGACCAGACTGGACACCCAGACTACAATCTAATCCTTTGCACAAATATCATCTTAATCTGCTCTGAAGGAAAGGCTTATATAAAACCCTTCTAGTCTAATTAGTATTAGCTGTTTGGTCCTGCAGCACCTTAGAGACTAACAACAAATGTAGATGGTATCGTGAGCTTTCGTGGGTACAACCCACTTCCTTCATCTGACGAAGTGGGTTGTGCCCACGAAAGCTCATGATACCGTCAACATTTTTTGTTGGTCTCTAAGATGGTGCCAGATCATTCGTTTGTATTTCTTTTTCTAGTTACAGACTAACACGGCTACCCCTACGAGACTTATTGGCTGTCTGTCGGCTTCTGGCATATTGCATGCTTCTGCTGAAGAGGTGTGTTTAAATTTCACATGCTCCCGTGTCAATATGCCACTGCTACCAAAAAACCTCTAACAACAAAGATCTGTTTTCCAAACTACTTGGCGCGCTCTCTCCACTGCCATGGGTGAGAATCATGTCAGAGGAAAATAGTTCTCCCTTCCCAGCAGGAGGTAGAAATTTAAATTCTGACCAGGAATGTTGTGAAGCAAAGTTTCCATATCTCTGCTGAGGCCAGAAAATGGAATCCATGTTTGAGGTCTGAGTGGTGTTACAAAGCAGTTGTGGAACGGCTGGCCAGTGGAGATTGTTTCCTGTGATGCAGAGTGTATTCAGTCCTGTAGACTAGAAATATCCTTTGGTGAAACCTTCCATCGCGGCTGAACATGCGACCAATACTGGGGGATTTTAACACCCCCATAGGAAAATGTGCTTCAGTTAGAGAGCTGAAGTTACATATTAGTTGGCTTGTGACCATAGACTCTGCAGCCCTTTTTCCCTTTGTAAGTTCAACGTGTTGCCGCAGCAGCTTATCGCATACCTGTAAGAATTCCACTGGTGGTCACTACCGCTGTTTTAGACTGTAAGCTCTGCCCTCTGCTATGCGTGTTCTGCCCTGGCACAATTCACATTCTGCAGCAGCCCGTGACATTAGAATATCTATTTTCCATCCTATTTCTTATGAATATCACCGCTTTTGTGTGGCATCGTTGTCTGGTGATTACCATGGAGTGCCAGAAGTGGGGTGTTACCTGTCCATGCCTACAGTGGGATCTGTCCCTACCCATTATTTACGGTAGCACCCAGAGGACCTGTTGGGGATTGAGCCCCACTTCACTAAGTAATGTAAAAACATTTATGAAAGATCTTGCCATCTAATTAAAGATGCAGCAGATAGCTGTAACAGAGCAAGAGCCAATGGGAGGGACAAGAATAATAACGATGGGACGCAGTTGATCAGTGTGTAGTTCTGAGGCTTGCACAGGTGTTTTATTGTGATATAAATAAATGGAAGTCTCCACTCCCCAGTGGTTTTAACTAACCATTATTAGCTGACTGTTTTCTCTAGGCATCGTTGTAAATGTGTGTAATCAACTCCACCCTCCTTCCAGCCCATCTGGAAAGACTCACCACTGCATCATCACATGGCCTGGGTATAATACATGTAACTGATCTGTGCTTCCTTTTCCCCATCCCCGTTGTATAAATAATGACAATCTTCCGGACAGTTGAATTCAGTTAGTGTGTATGAAATCCCTGCGCCAAAGCTTCTGCAAAATACCACCTTGGATTGTTTTTATTACAGACAAGATGGGTGAGGTGAGATCTGTTACTGAACCAACAGAGATGTTGTGAGACGTGTGTTGAAGCTACCTAGAGTGTCTTTAATTTTACTGTGTGTGTTTTGCCTTTTGGTGATAGGGTTTGTGTGGCCCCTGTGGTTTGTCTTTAAAATGTCTTGACTAAGGTTGTGTCACTAGGTCCTGCTTAAGTGGTTTGGATCAAAGAATCTGCTAATGAGATTCTAATTATTGGAACCAGGAGTGTGGCGGCGGCGGTGGTGGCAGAACTAACTCCTGATCCCAGGTCTTGCTGCTGACTCATGTGGTCTTTCCTGGGGGCAATAATTGGCATTTCTAGACTGCTCTGCCTGGTCTTCTGATCAAGGATCTAGTGGAAATGCCAGATATCGTATCTGATGTCTGCTTTTGAATTGCTGTAGGACCTCTTAACTCTACACAAGATCACGGCCCTGCAGAGCTGTAACTGTGTTTGGATGCTCAACCGGAGGAAGGGGTTACTCCTTCCAATGTTAATGAGTTTTCTCTTTCTCTCTTGCAGGCTGGTGGTTTGTGAGCACAGCAGAGGAACAGGGCTGGGTCCCTGCCACATACCTGGAATCCCAAAATGGCACTAGAGACGATTCTGAAATTAACACATCCAAAGCTGGGGAAGGTAGGAATTCTTTGAGAGGTAGCCGTATTAGTCTTTCAAGTGCCACCGGACCCTGGTGGTTTTTGCTGAAACAGACAAATGTATTCAAGCATAAGCATTCATGAGCTACAACTCAGCTACAACTCACAAGAGGAAGTAATACATTTGTTAGTCTTTACAGTGTCACCGGATTCCTTATGAATTCTTAAGTATCTGGGGGACGCTTTCAATTTACCTTGATTTCAGAAATCAGATGTCTTTTTGGAAACAAGTTATCCAAGGCCAACAACTACAGTGACTACAGCTGTGTGATTCTTTAAGCCAGTTCACTGTTCACTTTGCAGCCTGGTAATAGCCAAGTTCACTGCCATGGAAGAGATCAAACTTGAGGACCAGACCTGAATTTCTTACTGGTTGGGCTGGTTAAGTGCAGCCAGGATTTCGAAAGCAAGCTTGTTAATGGCAGCGCGTGCCACTTGAGGTCTTCACAGTCTGAGTATTTGCTTATCTTGATCTCCCCATTCTGCCGCTGTGGGGGCGAATTTGCACAGTGAAGTAATTTCTATAAAGAACAGTGAGTGTCTTTGTTTGAAGAAAATAGTCCCCGGAAGAGCATTCTAACATTTATTGGCGATGCTCAACAGAGAATCCCCTTTAACTTTTCTCTCTACAGAAGTTCAGCGTGTCTACGCAATTTTTTTTTTTTTTTTAAATTACCATTTGAATTTGATTTCATTGTTTGCTGTTGTGGATGAAAGGGTAAATCCTGTGTTTGAACTGTCTCATTCCACTAAAGCTGAAGAATCATTTGTGTTAAGAGGTGGGCTTATGTGTATATTCTAGCTGCATCGTTTTGGCTAGGCATACTTGAATCTAGGTCTAAAATTATAGTATTTCACCTGTCCTCCTACTCAATTACAAAAACTTAACCACATTTTAATGGAATATTCATGCAGTAACTGTGTACAAAGGACGCTGTTTTATTACGATTTACTCACCTCCTATAGAACCCATCGCCCCATCGCTGTAGTCGCTGGGTGCTCTTTATATAATGTCCCCGTATGAGCAAAACAGAAGTGTAGCTCTCATTCCTTAAGAACCTCTTATCTGAATATGGTATTAAAGTGAGCATTTGTCCACAATCACCCCTTCTTCTTCACCCCTAAGTTGTCATGTCTGGGCAACTGAGGCTTTATAGACAGAGGCTATCACCTTTAACTGGGTATAAAAGCGGACAGGCAGTCAATGAATCAGTGGTGTGAGATGTTTGGTTTTTTTTTTTCAATAGAACAGTGAATAAAACTAGCTTGTCTTTTTAAAGAGATCTTTTTTCAATAGAACAGTGAATAAAACTAGCTTGTCTTACTTTTTAAAGAGATCACTGTTTTCACTGAAATTTGTGTTCACATCTCATGGCTTTTTTTTTCCTTCTGAAATCTCACCATTTTTCTGTCTCCTAGGTCACCCTAGATGTGTCAGACCTAAGCCTTTCATACCTCGATTAATTTCTACACGTCCTTGTTCATACATATTACCCAGTTCAAATTATTTATTACAGTTTTTGCCATATGGCGCTCTAAGCCTGAGGCATCAAACTTTGTTTGAACGGTTCCTAAATTTCCCCTTTCTGATCTCCTCAATTATGCTCAACTCTCTGTGCCTTCTTCCAGGATCTGATCTGCTGAAATCTGAGACTTTATTCTTTGCCTTTTTGGTCTCTCTTAAATTCCCATGACAAATAATATTATGTTATCTCTGCTGTTGCTTTGATGTGCCCTAGTTCTCCTTTTCTCGACATTATCAGTATTCTTTACTTTTATGTCATAACCACATAATCAAAGACTTCTTCTGTTCTTAATTTTTTCCTATTTCTTCTGTTCTGAGGCAGTTCTTTACCTTGTCCTATAACAGAATGGCTGCTTAACTTCCATAAGAAGAGAGAATACAAAAATTCACATGTGTAAGAGAGCATACGGTAGGGAGATAGTCATAGAATAAACCGAGATTTCTGCTTTCTTCCAATATACAAACAGGGGAAGTCAATGAAACTGAGAAGCAGAACATTTCAATATGATAAAGTAAATTTTTTTAAGTGCTCCGTTAATCCTGGAACTTAATCCTGCTACAAAGGCACAAAGGTCAAGACTTCAGTAGGATTCAAAGGATTGGTCATTTAAATTAATATGTAACTGACATTCTCATTTATATGGGATAAAAATATTTCGGGGATATAAACACTTATGCCTCAAGGACTAACCACCAATTGCTTTGCTAGGAAGAAACTTTACCTGTAGACAACTTGTTTTGTAACTTTTTTTAGTAAACAATGTCTTGTTTTCTCTGAATCATTTGATATTAGTTAGTGTTGGAAGCAGGTTAGTGAAGTAGATGTACCTTTTGGTCTGACCTGTTGTAGTGAGCCTTGTTTTTAACAACAAGGGGATATTGAATGGAACATTACTAATAATGATACTTGTACTTTCATAGAGCATTTACAATTTTAATTTACATTATTTCACTCTGTCAAATTCTCAGGATAGCCCTGCAAAGCAGGTGAGACTGTTACAAGACAGAGTGCCAATATTCCAACTGGAGTTAGAGCAAATAAGTTTAATTCTCAGACCTAATTCTCAGACTTGCATCATCTTTTTCCTGAAAGGCAAGAAAAACCCTTAGAAAGAGATCAAAGGAAGACTGTTTATCAGACAATAACCCTGGGGAACGGTCAGCCACAGGATACTATTGAAGAATATTTTAGGACAATTTTTCTTTTTTAAAAGATTAGATGTTTATATTGCTGAGTAACATCAGCAGTTATCCTCGCTATGACAAACCATTCAGGGCTGGAACCGAGCTTCATATCTCAAGGTTGTTCAGAGCTAGTATTTTTTGTTTGAGCCCTCTTCTACTATAGGCCTTCAAGGTCCCGGATATAAAGAGCGGCATTTGGAGTCAGGAAGATATCTCCACTATGTGGACAGGTTTTATACCTTTTTCATGTAGCATTTGCTGTGAACCATTGTTGCTGACAAGGATGCTGGATTGGATAGAACTGTAGGGCATTTCTTGTGTTCACTGGAATGTCACACAGCTGTTTGATTTATGCCTTTCTCTCATGGTGTGACTGAGCAGATCCTGCAGTCTGAATCTGGATAAACAAAATCTGTAACTTGTGTGTTTTCCCCAAGCCTTTAAAGTGACATCTTCCGCCTGTTTGTCTCTCTGATAATGCTTCCTAACACTGCCCTATTCTGTTTACTCTTGATTTAGTTTTTAATTCTGATGCATCTTGACTATAATCCAGTCCACAACTTCATTTCCTGCAGTAGTCCAGTGACTTCGATCCTTTGGCATAATTCCATCAAAATGAAAGTCTTACATAGGGAAATACAATCTGGCGAATCTTACCAAATTAAATTAAAAGGGGGGGGGGGGAATGACATTAAGAGCTAGGTGTGAAGACAGCTGGTCTCCTATCTAGAATGTGTGTTGTAAGTCCCTTGTTCCGAAGCCCAAGACGGTTATAAGAAGCCTTTTCCTGTCACGTTAATTTAGTTTTTTGGCTAAATCCTTGTGTACTATAAACTGCAGCTCACACTTTTTAAAAAAAGCTCCTAATCTTCAGACTGCAGAGAGACTCTTCCTCCTCACATAAAACCCTCTGGTTTAGAACACCCTGATTTCCGCTGAAAGTAACTTGGCTTCTCACAGGGCCTGGGAGGAGAGACTCTGATTCCTGAGAGGATCCAAAACCCTAGAGCTAATGATTCCAAGAATAAGCAGTGGCCTGAGCTTCCTGCCACTTCTTTCCTGAGGACTCCCACTTCCCTTGATGCCAACAGCAGAGGTATCCACATCTCTTCGGGCAGTTCTGTTCAGGGGATTACAAATATTACTACTAATAAATATCCCATCTCACCTAGGGCCTCTAGTGGTGGGTATTCTAGGCAGTGTGTAGACGTAGAACAAAGTCTCTGCCACAATAAGCTTATACTTTAAGAAAAGAGCAGATAGATACAGGCAGAAGGGAGAATGTAAGGAAACAATGAGACAATAGTGGTCCGTCGGACCAGGCCGTGGACTCATCAGACCAGCTGTCTCGCTAATAAGCTGTTTGCTGATCTCATGGAAGAGAAGACTGTTAAGCAAGATAATGAGGTAACATGCAAGGTGCTCCTCCTAAGTGTGAGGGGCAGCATTGGAACAGGCACGAAGGTGCTTGTTTGAAAACTTAAAAAGCAATAAATTAGCAACCTACTGCCTGTCTGCTTTCCATGAGCAAACCTCTTTTCTCTTCTGCGTTTTGTCATGCTCCCCATTTCCATCACTTCCTGCTTTTTTTCCTGTTACTGATATAGGGTGTCCCCATATTGACTTAGGCATTAATGGATAGAAGTAGAAATATCAGTAATGGAGACGTCTCGTTGGAAAAAAAAAAGTATCATAAATTACTCAGGAGCCTCAATGACACTGAATTTCAATGTGTCCCAGCATCAGTAAATCCTTACTGTTGAGTTTGCACTTGCACTAGCTGTTCTTGAAGCATATTTTCGGAAGGAGTATAAAATCTGCCTCTATCTTCTTTATAGCAGCAATGAATGCCCTCATAAGCCAGGCCAAACTAGTATGGGAGCCTTTCTGTGAAAGACACAGGGAAGGCCTATGACTTGTCTCCATAGCAATCTACGCTATTCAAATTGAGTTACATTAGCATAACTTGGATCGACCTAGTTCAGATTTACTTACCGTGGAGTCCACGTTGCGAAGGGTCGGCAGGAGAAACTCTCCCGTCGACTCCCCTTACTACTTTCGTTCTGGTGGAACACCTGAGTCAATGGGAGAGTGATCAATGGTCAATTTAGTGGCTCTTCACTGTGTTCACAGTGTAATCACCCTGTAGTGGAGACTGGCCCAAAGCTTATGGCTTTGTCTTGCCTTTCCAGTTTAGTGGTCACTAAATCAAAATCGCAATACGTGTGTTAGCATGAACTGAAAGACCTTCACATGTATGTGACCTGGTAAACTGTTTTCTGCCATTGCAACCAGTGTCCTCTGTGCACAGCTATTTTGACTATCATTTTCACAAGTGTCTTTTTCTTTGTTATAATTTTAAAACATAAATTGTTGTTACTGAGTGTGAAACTAACAACTCCATGTTCACTTCTTGAACCCTTGAAATTTAGAAAGTTAGACTAAAAATTGTTGGGTTTGTGCCAAATGGTTAAAATACATGAATGGTCAGATTTCCATTTCAGTTTAATTTTCACCTTTGGTTTCTAGTCAATAGTTAGAAATAGTTTTGTTGCCTCGACGACAAGTATGTTTAAAAATCTATTTGTAGTAGAAAAAAATGTATTAGTGATAGCATGTTAGTGCCCAGGTATTACAATGAGCATAGCAGAAAACTTTTATGGATCCTATAAATGCTTACTGTAAATATATACAGTATTACATTTGGTAGGAATTCCACAGTCCCAGCCAAGGTCTGGGTTCATTGTGCCAGATGTTATACATAGCAAGACCTCATTGGCCCCAAAGATCTTCCATCTCAATAGAGGAAACGGCAATAACAGCTCTTCAAAGTTCCAAAGACTTGGAGAGGCGTTATCTAATCTGTGGCGTAAAAAACAGAACTCTAATTGGCTTTGAAAGCCAAAAGCAAAGACTACTAAAGGCAATGACCATTCTGTTGCTATATGTTTCTGGGGCTCAAGAAGTTAACTTGTTTCCTGTATTGTACAAACTAAAACCTGGGAGTTTTTTACATTCCATGTAATCAGTTCTTGCTAACAAGACCAGTTTTCACAATTATGTTTTATTACCCATCCCTCCATCATTTTTCTGTTTTTCTGTTTCCATACATGTTCCAAACTAGTTTCTAAGCGACGCAAGGCTCATCTGAGGCGCCTGGACCGGCGATGGACGCTGGGCGGGATAGTCAACAGGCAGCAGAGTCGAGGTGAATAGCTTCTTGTGGCATAGCACCCTTAAAAGCAGAAAAGTTGAGCTACGGCTCCTTGCCTCCTGCCATGCAGCCTGCCAAACAGGAATGGTGTTGGCATGTCATTGGTTGATCAAATCTTGTTTACTTGGATAGAGGTGGGCCTGACCTGCAGAATTCTGATGTGGATTTCCAACCTCACACAGTATTGATAAAGGGTGTTTGGCACCAAAGTTTGGTTTAACCCACTTAGAGATGAGCCAACAGCAAAACTTGGCCCTAATGGGAGCAATCGGTTTCAGTATTTGATCCAGGCACATCTCTGCTTTTTCCTGTTTATACAAACAAGGAACAGAGTATCACTTGTTTATCAGCAAAATGGAGAAAATATCAAGAACTTAAGGATGTGCGAACTGCAAAAGCATCGGAGACTGGGTTTGGGTGAGCACCTGGATGCTTCTTCTAACCTCATCCAGATAAGAGCAGTGTTTCTCAACCTTTTTTTTTTTTTTAAAGTACCCCTTAAAGAAAATACCTCCAGTACCTACAGTTTTCTCACACAATTTTTTTCTACCATTGCAACACATGTTTAAACAACTTTAATCATAGCCAGGTGGGTGATGAAAATTTGGGTGTAAAAAGTACAAGAATAATAAAGCACTGTGAAACTTAAAACAAAAATTCAGTTTTCTCCAAATTTCAGCTGTTGACGTACCACCCCAGACTTCTCTTGAGTACCCCTAAGGGTACTCCTACCACTGGTTGAAAAACCCTGCTCTAGAGAATGCATAGCTTTCTAGCAAAACTAGTGATGTTTCCTAACAGGCCGGGAATGCCATGAGGGCACTCCTCCTTTTGCTGTTTTGTACCAGAGACTGAAACCACAGATGCCCTTTTCTGTAGAGGTTCCCCCAAAAGATACTGGTAAAGAGCTTGGTCTCAAGGATTCAGCCTTTCCTTTTAGGGGAAGGTTTTGATAGAGTGGAGTGAGTCTGACTGGCCTTCCTGCTTTCTGCAGATGTGTTTAAAAGAGAACAGAATACAAACATTGACGTTATAAGTGGGTTTTTCCAAAAGAACTTGAACCACAAGAAGCCAATGAAGTAGCCAGAATTGTGGATTAAGATTTACCTCTCTGTGGGATAGTCCTGACTCAGTAGGTTCCTGGTGTCAAACCAATTCATTTGGAGGAGGGATGGAATTAAAGTGACTTTCCTCTGTTGCTGCTCTTTGCTTGGAGATCTTGGCAAGGGAGTGGAGCCAGATGTATGCGCAAGTAAACCCTCTTATTTGAATAATGGATGCTCTTCAAGTGGCTGGTGTACGTGATGGCAGAAAAGCAAAATTTGTGAATTTAGATTCCGCTGCAACACAGATGTGTTAACATACAGGGTTGGGCTCCCCAGTTGTCACAGGGTCTATGTGGTTTGTTACAACACATTCTCTTCATCCTAGCTCCCCCCAGCAGATCAGAATCTAGAATAACAGCGAGGCTCCTTGGTCCATGATAGGCTCCTTCCCTAGCCAATGTTTTCAAATCCTAGCTTCCTTGCCCAGATGTTCCCTACTCGCTACTGGTTTCCAGTACCCTGTTCTTGTCCTGGTCTCCTGGCCTGATCAGTTACCTTCCTCATCCCCTCCCCATAAACCTCAGCGTCCCTCCCTCCCCCCACTTTCTGACTCTGAATCCAGTCTCTCTCAACTCCTGGTTTCCCTCTTCCCTTCCCTGCTGTGCTCCAGCCCATCTCTGCAGGCCCCTGTTCCAATTAGGGATGTGAACGTCTAGTCAACTAGTTGCTCTCCCTTTGCTGCCTCTATCAGAAAACGGCAATAAGGGGGTGGAAGAGAAGGGTGCTTCAAAGCAGCAGCACTGTGGAGCACAGGGCCAGACCCCGGGCACCATGTGGAGGTGCTGCTTTGAAATGCTGCGGGGAGCATGGGGCCAGCCGGGGATTGCTCGAGTCCCCTGATGGCCCCATGCTCCTCGCAGCTCTTTCGCCTTTGAAGTGTAGCAACACTCCTAGGGATGTTACATTGCTACATTTCAAAGGTAGAGGCACCCGTATCGACTAATCGGGTGGGTGAAAATTGCATTGACTATTCGATTACCCAATTCATCTAAATTTAACATCCCTAGTCCCAATCTACTCCCTTTGCCCTCCTCCCTATGTCCTGATTGTCTTATCTCTCCATTTGAATCAGCTTCTTCATTGAATACAGGAGAGACCTTCTTTCTGCTCTGAACTGAGGTGCCCAGATGTGGACCCAACTCAGCCTGCAACAGGCTAGAACTGCAGTTGTCCAGGGCTGGTGTATGCACTTTTCCAGCTAAAATCCCTGGAAACTATGTGCACTGAGCATCTCTGCTAAGCATGTTCAAACTGCATGTTTTGAAAGGCTTTTAACTTGGCAACACTTGGGTGGATTTTCACAGGGCATCTAAAGACATGTACTCCACAGAAAGGCCATACACCCTCCTAAATTCCCTGTCCTTGCTCCAAAGCTTTGAGGAACTAGATCGACTGTATTCAAAGAAAATGTCGCCAGCATTTTTTAACATGGGCCAAATAATGTGTGTTTTCTCTACCCTTGTTCATGGGGAAAAGCTGGACCATTGTAGTTGATGTATAAAACAATCAGCCTGAAACACCACTGGCATGGAAAAATTCAGCTGAAATTAATATTTGGCAAAGTAATAGGCAACTGAAAACAAGATGCTCTAAGGAGAAGTCGTTGGGCAGCCTTCGAAATGCAGTTCTACCAGCCCAACTTATAACAATGTAAAAACTAGAATTTGAATTTGCACTTGGATTCTGAAGGTCAAGATTTTTCAAAAGTGACTACATGGATGCTCCCGTTCACGTGTCTAACCTGAGAAGGCGTTTGACTTTCAGAGGGTGAATACTTGGCGCTTTCTGAAAATGAGACCCTCAAACTGTCCACCCAAGAATCAATAGGTTTTTTTTTTTAAGTGTCCATATGTGTTTAGAGTAAGAGGGTAAAAATATTTTGAAGGTTTTGTTGTAGTCGGCTCTGCCCTCTTCTGGGTGGGAGTCTGAGGATTGTAGCAAGCTCTGCTAGTACTGTTGAACTAGCTAATGGAGATTCAGATCAGTTAAAAGAGAAAGTCACAAGTTCTCCCGGGGAATCCACCTGTTACTTTTATATGGCTTCACAGAAGTCCGATTTTTGCAGACAGTTTCATTTATATATTTTACTTAGTACCTCTTTGCAGCAAGTTAAGAAATATGAAATTTTAGAGTTAATGCTAGTATGAATTTGCTTCCAGTCAGTTCAGGATTTTTCCTAGTTTGTGCTCTACTATGTGGGATCAGAATTTCTTAGCCTTGTGTCACGAGTCCTCTATTGCCAATAGCTAAATGATTCTTCCTTAGCTTGAGAGAGGGGCCTGTGCCATTCAGAGCAGGTATGAATGGCTGGTACCTGGTACAAAGAGAAGATTGAGGGGGGACATGATACCCTTTTAGATACCTGAAAATGGCTATCATAAGGAGGAGGGAGAAAACTTGTTCATCTTGGCCTCTGAGGATAGAACAAGAAGCAAAGGGCTTAAACTGCAGCAAGGGTGGTTTAGGTTGGACATTAGGAAAAAGTTCCTAACTGTCAGGGTAGTCAAACACTGGAATAAATTGCCCAGGGAGGTTGTGGAGTCCCCATCTCTGGAGATATTTAAGAGGAGGTTAGATAAATGTCTATCAGGGATGGTCTAGACAGTATTTGGTCCTGCCATGAGGGCAGGGGACTGGACTCGATGACCTCTCGAGGTCCCTTCCAGTCCTAGTATTCTGTGATACACTATGGTTGCCACTATGATGCAAATAATGTGTATGATTTTCAGATGCTATGGTGATGTTATAAATGCTTCAGTAGATAGAAACAGTTGGAAGAGATGAACTCTTAGAGACGGATCTAGCTTTGTTGCACAGGATCCTCCAGTAGTAAGGAAATACCCCAAGGGAAATATGACTAGTTTCTTATGCCTGTTTTGCATTAAAGTGAGGAAGGTTAGCAGTCTGTGACATTGAGTTTTTTATTCGTGGAGCAAGAAAATTCAGTAAAGACACTAAATGTCTTAAATACCTGGTAGCACCTGTTTCACTAAACCTAGGACATCTGCAAAGATGACAGCTGTAATCTGCTCTGAGGGAGCACTTCGTTGCTAGACCTTTCTTTGTAGACATTTGGTGGAAATACTGTGTATGATAGGTTTTGCCCCTTACACAGCTTCAGAGCTTACATGTAAAGCATAAGAACAGCCACACTGGGTCAGACCAAAGGTCTGTCTAGTCCAGTATCCTGTCTGCAGACAGTGGTCAATACCAGATGCCCCAGAGGGAGTGAACAGAACAGGGAATCAAGTGATTTTTTTTCCCCCTCCTGTTGTCCATTTCCAGCCCTTGACAGAGGCTAGGCACACAATTCCTACCTATGCTGGCTAATAAGTATTGATGGACCTATCCTCCATGAATTTATCTAGTTCTTTTTTGAACCATGTCAAAGTCCTGGTCTTCACAACATCCTCTGGCAAGGAGTTCCACAGGAGTTGACTGTGGGCTGTGTGAAGAAAAACTTACTTTTGTTTTAAACCAGCTACCTATTAATTTCATTTGGTCATTCCTAATTCCCATATTATAGGAACAAGTAAATAGCTTTTCCTTATTCACTTTCTCCATGCCTGTCATGATTTAATAGACCTCAATCATATTCCCCCTCACCCCCACTTAGTCTCCCCTTTTCTAAGCTGAAAAGTCCTAGTCTTTTTAATCTCTCTTCATATGGGAAGAGAAATCCCTAATCATTGTTGTTGCCCTCCTCTAAACCTTTTCCAGTGCTAATATATCTTTTGAGATGAGGCGGCCACATCTCTACGCGGTATTCAAGATGTGGGTGTACCTTGGTTTTATAGAGAGGCAATATTATTCTTATTCTCTATCCTTTTTTCAATGATTCCCAATGTTTTGTTTGCTATTTTGACTGTCGCTGTATCCTGAGTGATG